AGGATTTGTGTCCTAGTACACCTGATCAGCGAGGTCGCATGAGTAAGGTTCCTTATGCCTCGGCTATAGGATCTATCATGTACGCCATGTTATGTACTCGACCGGATGTCTCGTTTGCCTTAAGTATGACTAGCAGATATCAACAGGACCCTGGTGAGGGCCATTGGACTGCTGTCAAGAATATCCTTAAGTACTTAAGAAGGACTAAGGACTTATTCTTGGTCTATGGTGGATTGGATGATGAGCTCTGTGTAACAGGTTACATAGATGCAAGTTTCCAAACTGACCAGGACGACAGTAAATCGCAATCGGGATATATATTCCTCCTGAATAATGGAGCAGTAAGCTGGAAGAGCTCTAAGCAGGGCACTATAGCGGATTCTGCAACGGAAGCTGAGTATATAGCAGCATCTGATGCAGCTAAGGAAGCCATTTGGATAAGGAAGTTCATTACTGAACTTGGGGTCATACCTACCATCTCAGATCCAATAACTTTGTTCTGTGACAATAGAGGTGCCATTGCACAGGCCAAAGAGCCTAGGTCACATCAAAGGACCAAGCATATACTCAGGCGATTTCATCTCATCAGAGAAATCAACGATAGAGGTGATATAAAACTATGCAAAGTAGCAGGAGAAGACAATGTTGCTGATCCTCTAACAAAGCCGCTTGTGCAAGCAAAGCATGAGCGTCATGTTAGGTCAATGGGAATTAGACAAATTAATGATTGTACCTAGTGCAAGTGGGAGGATGTTGGAAATTGTGCCCTAGGGGCCAATCATTTTGCTATGAACATTATTGATTTATGAATTTATTAATTACGTTATCATATTATTTGCATGTTTACTGTGATGACTATCCTTGGATAACTCATGATTTATCCTAAATGTCCCTGGTCGGTTATCTATGTGGGAGCAGAGATGAAATAAGACCAGTATGACTTTAAAGATATATAGAGATATAAATTAAAGTCATAGGCACATGTAAGAGTACAAGGTGTTGGACCGACCCGCTATGAGAGAGCTGCATGTGTTAAGTCATAAGCTTCTCTCATATACAAACCATGTCACTGTGCCCTTTGACCTGAGATCATCATGGATTCCTACGTGAGAAACGCTTAGCTTTGACCTAGTCAAAAGTCACTTTTGACCGAGTGATCATAAAGACTATGTTCAGGCTTAGTGGTTTTTCATGCGGAGGAATGTGAATGGTCAAGATGGAATTTGTCCCTCACATTCGTAGAGAGATATTACTGGGCCCTTCGATGAGTGAGTCTGAGAAATGTATGGCCATACTATAATGGAAAGGTAGTTCCGTTTCGATACTAAGACTACTCAGGGATTGAGAAAGTAACGGTCATGAATAGGAGGATGACGTTTTCCATGCCTCATCCATGACCAAAATGTCATGTGACAAAAGGGACGCAATATGGTTGTATGAAAGGTTACATCGTTCAACGATCCTCATATGATTTGGGTAGTCGTGATGTCTTGCTAGAGACCGCTTACGACTTATGAGTAATTATAGTTAATGGCCCACTGCCAACTTCATATGGGCCTACAGGGTCGCACACAAAATAGCCCAACACGAGTTATGATGTCCAGATTCATTAAATCTAAGATATGTCCAGATTCAATGAATAATATAGGGTGGACGTGTATATATATATAAATTCGTATATATATACATATTATATAAATATAAGAGATATTAATTGTTAGATTTAATTTATAAGGATAAATTAAATCTATATAAATTAATTCCGTCATATCTTTATTTTGAATTAAATAAATAGGTGAATTAAATCTGTGAGAAGGATTTAATATAAACCATATTTATTTAATTGTTCTCTTATCTGATTAGGCAATATTTGATATTGTATTAATTTTGAAATTAATTTAGGATTAATTTCGAAATTAAATATCATTCATAATACCTATAGCATCCTATATATTTGATATTAGGAGCTAGGGTTTTGAGTGAGAGAGTGAAAACACTTGCAGATAAGAGACAGCCAAAAAATAGAGAAGGAGGACGGACTCTTTGAAAAACCCTAGACGGACAAAGAGGCGCTAGCACGTCGTTCGTGACTGGAGAGCTATTCGTGTGGATACCGGTAGAGGAAGCCAACCGGAGTTGTCGACTTCGAACGACAAAGGAGGCGAGCAGAGGCATCCTGAACGGCGGAATCACCGAGCCACCAAGAAACCGAACATCGAAGGTAATGCTTCTTACTACTTGACTTAAACACGATCGGTAGATCCGGACAAGGGATTGAAATTTTTAAATTTATTTCCGTTGCGCGTCTTTCAATTCCCTTCATACATTTCAATCGTTAGGTAGAAACTCAAGGTATAGTGTCATCCTTGAGTTTGAGAATGAAGACTAAGTCTTGTGATTGTAATATAGTTGTAAGTGCCCTGATTTTGAAAACTTGTAAGAGCAAAATAGAACTCAAGTGGGAAGCATAGGAACTGGATGTAGGCCAAAAGTTTAGACTAAATTAATATAAATCTCTTGTATTCATTTTCTCTATAGTTTTTTTTCGAAGCTCATCTTTGAGTTGCTCTGTTTTTCATATTGTTTATTGTTTTATTGCCTATCGCTCTTTTAGGTGGTTGGTGCCAGCCTATTCTATAATTCTTTTCTTTTATAGTTTTCAGAGACCCTAATGTAATTGGTTGTTTTATTTAAATCGTATAGAAGTAAAATTTCGGTCAAAAAGTATTACTACACTTCGTCAAATAGTAACTTGTTGCTTTATTTTATGAGATTTATTATTAAATTTAAAAAATTTACAAAAAATTGAACAATAATTATTCTTTAATTGCTTCGACTTGTTACTATTTAAAATATAATTTGACACTTAGATTTTAAAAATTTTACAAAGCCTTGTTTTTTCATTTTTAATCTTTTGCATAAAAAATTCTTAGATTTAATTTTAAACTTATTAAAACATTGGTTCCCACCACGTGGCATCCCAAGATCAACTATGGCCATCAAGGAATAACGCATTCATGTTCATCAGTTCAGGCCATGCCATCGCGTGGTCCACGTCAAAACACGAATTTGAATAATCAAATATCGATATATATATGATATCATATAATAAATTCTCTTATGGTAACAACTAACAAGCGGCCAATAGTATATGATTCATTTCGAGTTCTATAATCACTCCGTTCTGTGCGAAGAAGGATATGCACCACACCAAGAAAAGATGATGGTTGGGCTGTGAAAGCATTCCCCCTGTTTTAAGTCAAGAGTTTGAGTTCCCTCCCTTTTAATTTCTTTTCTTTTTCTTTTGGCCTTTTTTTGCCATTTATGTACAAAAACACTTCTCTGGTCCTATTTATAGGGTAGAGAGAGAAGATATGTTTTAATCCTATTTATAAGACAGAGAGAAAAGATATTTTTGGTCTTATTTATAGGGCACTGAGAGAAATATTTTGTATGAATATATAATTTTACCCCTCATTTATTATTGTGTTGACTTTGTTTATATAAGGTATAATGTATATTAAATAAGAATAAAATTGAAAAGTCATTAAATTTTAAGTAAGAGTTAATGAAGTTTAACGTTTTTCTTAGTCTATATGTAACAGGCTGGAAATGCCTCATAAATAGGATCAGAGAAGTAATGTTTGGTTATCCAACGACACACGCGCACGCACACACAATAAAATTCTACCTTTTCTTTAAGCATTTAATGTGCCTTTGTATAGTGCTATTGTAATACCTCAACTTCCTAAATACTCCTCTGGTCATTAATATAAAACCTATTTAACTAATTTGATTAGATTAAGCAAGTTAGGTAAGTTAGTTAATTATAAGAAATATGACATGTTTTTCCTAAAACACCATGATCATCTTCTTTAATATCCTCTCTCCCTCTTCCACTTGATTATGGTTGAGGGAGATCCATAGGGATAATTTAAGAAAAATTGATAAACATAAGAAATAAGTCTTATATTTAGGAATAAAATCAACTCAACAAATAGGTCCTATATTAAAGACTAGAAGAGTTCTTTTTTATTTTGATTATTATATTTTACATAAAATAAGTGATATTTTGATGAATTTTCGTAATTTTTCAAAAGAAAACTCCAAAATTGGGCAATTTGGATTTACTTTCTTAAAAAAAAAAACATAAAAACACAAATCAAACTGCATCATTTCATATTTTTTTAAAAATATCAAAATGTCACTTAGTTTATGTAAAATCTAATGATCAAAAGAGGGGGAAAAATATTTGAGAGGATGTGATGTTGCAAAACGCATTATAGAAGATGAAATAGAGGCACATTAGAGGTTCCAAACCAAATTAATTGTTCTAATTAATTTAGCCGCGCTTATGCAATTGTGTTGCATTTGGTATTACTACAGTAATAACAAGTATTATGTCACTAGCTAGGTGAAGTTGGCTCTATATATAGATCATATGATACCATTGTAATTTAGCAACAGTTAAATATTAAAATAAATTGGTAATAAAAGGGCCTCACTTAATAATTTCATTGACCATTATATCCTTTTCAGTTTCTATCTACCATTTTTGGATGACCACATGCTATGTGCTTTACCCACCTCATGTCTACTGTAAACCGGTATATCATTTTCATTAATTGCCTTTCTTGTTTTTATTTTCATTCTGAACCAAGCAAATGGTTACAGCCTCAAGGAGAACAAGCTGACGCTGTATAGTATGACATGTCGCTTTATGTATGTCTATATGACATTTAAATCAGAACACCTACTCTTCTTATTTGCCTACCCATAGACGTGAACGTATTTCAAACAGTTTTTCTTGTCTTTTTCTTGTTAGAATTATGTCGTATAAGGGGATGCATATCAGTGCAATTGCAGGCTCACAAGCAATACCCTTCCAAAACCTTTGTTTAAAAACGAAGTTCAATCTTTTCAATAAAGTTCTCCACTTCTCTCTCTCTCTCCACAGAACAAACCCTTCTTCTTTTTCTTCACCTTTAAGGAAACAAAAACCAAAAAAAGGAAAAAAAGTTTCTCTGACAGAACACAGCTTGGCCATAGCTTGAACTCCCATGGAGACCAAAACGCACGTCGCTCTCATCTCGATCCCGGCGTTTAGCCACCAAGTCTCGATTCTTGAATTCGCGAAGCGTCTTGTTCATCTCCACCCTGACTTCCACGTGACCTGCATCATCCCGACCATCGAATCTGCTCCCTCCGCCTCCGTGCCGTTCCTTCGAGCTCTTCCTCCGGCTATAGATCACGTTTTTCTTCCCCCCGTGAGCTTCCACGACCTTCCTGAAAAGACGTCGCTTCAAGTCCAGCTTCAGCTCGCCGTTTCTCGCTCCATCCCTTACGTGCGGGAAGCCTTGAGGTCCCTCATAGCTTCAACGAACCTAGTCGCAGTTGTCGTTGATCCCTTCGCTAATGAGGCGATTGAACTGGCCAAGGAGCTAAACGTCTTGTCGTATATTTACTTCCCTTCGTCTGCCATGTTGCTCTCGCTTTGTCTTTATTCAACGAAGCTGGACGAGAAGGTCGTTTCGAACTGTGAGTTCCGAGACCTTCCCGGATTTATAGAGATTCCAGGTTGCGTCCCTGTTCGTGGCATAGATCTTCCAGATAATCTTCAAGATCGAAGGGATCTAGCGTACAAGCAGTTCCTTCAACGATGCAAACGGCACCGTTTGGCTGATGGTATTTTCGTCAATAGCTTCGTTGAGATGGAAAGCGGTCCCATCAAAAAGATGCAAGAGAAAGGACCCTTCGAGGTAAGCAATCTTATTGATATCTCACACGCAGAAACACGCTATTCTGGGAAATCTCCTCTTTATATGATCTTAACAACAAATTTGACTTCAAGGTGAGTCATGTTTTAATTGGAGGGATCTTTTTCTAAATAGATTTTTTTTTTTTTCCAATTCAATAAGTTCCACCTCAATTCAAGGTGAATCACATGATAATATTTACGGTAAAAAAGGTAATTTTACTTAAGTTTAGCAATTGATTTATGTTGAGAGAAATTAAGCTAATCATGAAGTTTTTGTTGGAGAAATATTTTTTATCTTTTTTTAAATTATTTCAAATAGCTTATTGAAATAACTTTTTCTTAACACATCCTTAATGTGTTTAGCTTAAATCATCGCCCAACAATTCTCACATACTCTCAAGAACATTGTCATGTTTAGCCCAACTAAAAATCTCTTTCTCTGTCAGCTTAAACAAACTAACCCTTAATCATGCGTATGTCTATATGTTGTGTGATAAATCTACCCACATGATACCTTCCATTATTTATATAAGAGCCAAATAACTAGTTTTAGTGTATTAAAAAGTTAGATAAATTAGTTAATTATTACACATATGATGTGATCTTCCTAGAATTATGCTTATGTAACATTAGATTATGTATCAGTTCATAAGTTATGTAAATTTGTTTGGGTAAACATGAGGAATATGGGAAAAATGAATTAAATCTTATATTTAAAACTAAATAGAACCCTACAAAAATTTATATATTAGGCACTAGTGGAGTATTAACTAATTTGAATTCAAGTAGAGAAACCATACTTCAAGAGGAGAAATATCTTTATTTAGGTACTCCACTCACAAAATTAAAACTCATCATTTTGTTTAACAATATCGAATTTTTTTTAATCAGACGATCTAATAACTGTTGATTAATGATACACACACATACATATTGACTTTTACTAACAAGACTCTGTTTCTTTAAGAAGTGGATCCTCTAAAAAGTAGGATCTGTTATTACACGTATTATTTTGTCCTTTTTCTTCACACAAAATCAGTTCAAATGTTTAATTTAAACTGTTCATTGTCACACGTTTTTCTGAAGTGAGTATATTGGGAGATGCTAGCAATTAATGCTTAGTGTATACGCATGTTGTACAATATAACAACTTAAGTGGCTGGGTTAGGATTTAAAAAAAAGGCCAAGCTATAAAATTTACCCATGAAGAATTTTGCTAGGAGCATCTAGCACCAAAAGTTTTTTTTAGATGTAAAATTACATATGAAATTTTCAAAGTAACGTAAAAATATCACAACTGTTAAGTCAACTAACCTTAGCTGTTTAACAAAAATGTAGGTTAAGAAAATAGTACAAAAATATACATAAAATTTTCAAAATGGTGCAAAAATATCACAGCTGTTGGAAACTTAATATGTATTTTTTGCACCATTTTTACTTGATATATTTGTTAAGCAGTTAACATTAGTTGACTTAACGACTGTGCTATTTTTGTACCAATTCAAATATTTCATGTGTATTTTTATGCCTGAAAAAGTTTATGGTATTTGGTATCCCTGACAGAATACTTCATGGGTAGATTTGCACCTTAATCCATTAAAAATGTTAGCATGATTTCTGTCTCTATAAAAACACAATAAATTAATAATGAAAATTTTGTCCCAAATTAATTTAGATACAAAATTAATCAATTAGCCATGGAATGGAATTTTTTTGTGTGTGGCCTGTGTAAAAATCATAATCTAGATGTAACTTCCATATCAAATAAAATGTTTTGTCTTTATTATAAATAATTGGAATATCACTTTTCCTTTCTATATGCAGAGAGATACTCATAGAAATACACATTGATATGCAAATGATACGTCTTCCTTTCTTTAATATTACTTTATAACAACATACATTTCTACAGTACACATGTTTTTAGAAATAAACTGCACTGCGACTTTTAATTACTTAATTATGAAACTTTTTGTGATTATAAATTTTATAGTATTATGTTATTTGTGATCGTAGAACTATATTTAACTCTTAAAAAACTAAAATTTTGGATCGGTAATCTCAATATTTTCTTTATTTTTAGTTCAGACAATGTCTATTTTCTGAACTATAGGACGGAAGTCGATCTGATCGGGCTGGTCTATAATAAATGCAAAGGGTTAGCTTGATGTTTTCTTCCACCTGAACTCTAAAATGTTGTTTGGTCCAACCACATTTCAATTTTTGCAGTTTTTAGGAACACATAATTGACCGAACCATCTGAATGAAACGGACCACGAATCTTCCCAACAAGAACAAATAAATATTTTCACCCACTCAATGAAGTATTTATATAGATTAATTAATTATTGTGTAAATTTCATGTATATGTATATGAAACTTAATATATAACCTCTTGTCCTTAATATAAGAGCTGAATAATTAATTTACAAATATTCAAAAAATTAGTTAAGTTAGCTTTTTGTAATAAATAAATGTTATCTTCTCTAAAATACTTTTATTAATTACATGTATTTGAATTACTGATTAATAAGAACTTCTTAACATGTGCAATCACCATAAAGATTAGAAGGCAAAATAGATAAATATTAAAGACAAAGTAAATTGAGTTCTTTATAACCAAATTCAATCGCCAATTCATTCTCATATTAAAAACAGGAGATAGTATATCATTTAATTCATGAATATAACAAAACTCTATATCTTTCATATTTTGAGAGTTCATATATTTTTATACATTTTATGTTGATGATGTTTTCACTTGAGTATAGGCCTCGTTTCAGTATCATAATGTGAAAAGCCGAAGCGTATTGCCTTGCAGGATGGAGAAGCTACGAATGTCTATCCAGTTGGACCCATCATACAAACCGGGTCAACGAATCGGGAAATTGGGTCAGATTGCTTGAAATGGTTGGACCTGCAACCACCCAACTCTGTGCTGTACATTTCTTTCGGAAGTGGTGGGTCCCTCTCTGAAGACCAAATCAAAGAGCTAGCATTAGGACTAGAACTGAGCAACGTAAGGTTCTTATGGGTCAACGTGAAGGCTCCAAGCAGCAAAGCGTCGGCCTCTTACCTGATAAAGCCTGAAAATGACCAGCTCGAGAGTTTCTTACCAAAAGGGTTCCAAGAGAGAACCCGGGAGCGAGGTTTAGTCATGGCTTCTTGGGCCCCACAAGTGGACGTCCTCCGTCACGAAGCCACCGCCGCGTTCTTGACTCACTGTGGTTGGAACTCGGTGCTCGAAAGCGTCGTTAGCGGAGTGCCGCTGATTGCTTGGCCGCTGTTCGCCGAGCAGAGGACGAACGCGGCGATGCTCGTGGATGGCTTGAAGGTGGCAGTGAGATCACCATCAGGGGTTCATGATCACCAGAATGGCTTGGTGGAGAAGGAGGAAATAGCGAAGGTGATAAAGAGTGCGATGGAAGATGAAGAAGGCAAAGAAGTTCGTAGAAGAATGAAGAAGCTGAAGGATGCTGCTGAAAGTGCCATAATGGAGGATGGGTCATCCACAAAGACTTTGTCGGATTTGGCGATGAAGTGGAAAAAGTTCAGAGGCACAATATAAAAAGTAAAAAATGAACTTTCTTTTTGCTCCAAAAAAAAAGACTGCAGCTTGTGTGAATTTTTTTTAGTTTCTGTTTTTTTAATATTTCATTAATTAAGTGCTGGGGCCTGGGGTGCTTATATTATGCAGAAAATTAAACTAAAGGGAAGGTCTGCGCTTGTTCGTATTGTTGTAAGTTTTACACTTTTTAGCCATGGTGTTTGACGTACACTGAAATATCTTTTTCTTGATCGTATAATGTATCAGATTTGGATGGTTTAAAATTTTTTATTTTTTTAAAGTAAATTTTATGAAAAATAATATTTTAACATAAAATTACAGAAACAAAGGAAGATCGTCCCTATTTGTGATGAGAAAACAATTAACCTAATAAATATGGTGCGAAAATAAATTCCCAAGAATCTATGAGAAATAATCAAACAGTTAAATAACACTAATACATCGAGAGAACCAAAAATTTGAGCATGAAAAAAAACCCCTTAAAATAGAAGTAGTTATTAAAAATGATAAAGGTGTTCTGAACACCCCAATCTTTTTTTTTTTTTTTTCAAAAGTGCTTAGTGCCTTAATCTTTTTTATTAGTGGTGCAATTTCACCCACCATCATTTTTCTTTCGAGGCAATTTTACCCATTTCTAATGGTACTCTAATGTTTGTTAACACACTTTTTTTTTTTTTAAAGTCCACATTAGGAGATCATGTGGCTGAGACGTAATATGGGGATGAAAATTGCCACATAATAATTTATTTAGAGATAAAAGGAAAACAAACGAACCTATCTATCTTTGTGCACTCACTTTACAAGTATTGGAACCCCATTTGTTTCTGGCTCTGCGATTGTGAATTCTAGTATCTGGAGAAGGAGAAGGCGACAAATATTCAATTGAAACAAGCCAATGTCGATTTTACTTTAGCAATGGAGATTTTTTTGATTCACCGTCTTCCTCGCAACCTTTGCTGCTGCACTCTACAATTCTCGTGAGGGTTCGTTCTTTTTGTTGCTATTCTTCTTTACTTCACTTGTGTTTTTCTTAAATTGAATAAATGAATAAACTAGAGCTTTAATCTAATAAGATATTATGTGTCTTTCAAATGCCTATGTGGATTTTTTTCACAAAAAACTGTTTACGTGTTAACAGGCATTTAGAAGACTGTTAGTGGTAGGTAAAATTGCACCGAAAAAAAAGATGTTCGATAAATTGCACTACTAAGAAGATTAGGGTACTAGGTGCTCCTGAAAAGAAAAAGATTGGGATGCTAGGTGTACCTTTACCCTATTAAGAATCCACAAATCATCCAAACTAAGAAAAACAACTTCTTCATTTAAATATGGGAGTACAAAAAGAGTTTTAATGAATGGCACAAATTAATGCTAATTGCCAACTTGTCATTGTGAACAAAATCTCTCTCACACAAGGCAACTTAACTAGGAATGAAAAACCAGACGATCTGAACGTGTGTTGACAAAATTTCTGCCTAATCTAACAATTAATACACAAATGAATTTATGTCAAGACCATGCAAAGCCTCTTATTCCAATTATATTTGAATCAGATTTCACTCTAAAACTCTAATATGAACTCTGAAATCCGGGGAAAAAAAACTTGAGTTTCTAATTTTGCACCCTTCTCCACATATGAAAGAAGCCCACATCCGTAGTTTAAACTATCATAATAAAACATGCAAACATGCATGGTGCACCAATCTAGACATGACAATTTAAAATATGTATCATCCTAGAATGATTCTATTTATTGATGCAGTCTTATTCTTCAGACAAAAATTGTGCTTTAAGGTCAAAAATTCGTAACTCATGTTGTATACATCTAGTTGATCTTATTTAGGACATGTTGGAAAGCTCTTTGTGGTCTACTTTCCACATAAAAATTATCATGATCATTGAACATCAGTTATTATAAACGGTTCAATGAAATAGTCATAGACATCAAAAAACTCCTGCATATTTCCATAATTATATCATAGCTCCAAGGCATTTATAACGCTACAATTTATTATTTATCACTCTTATCATATCAAAAAATGCAAAATACTATCTCAGAGTAAATTTACATAGCTCATATGAATTTGTATGTAATTTGGAACAATAGGTCTCAAACTTGGCACTTTACTTATCACTACCTTCTTGAAATTCTTGCTTTCATTTCTAGCTTGCTGTATATTGATCGCTCTTTTTACCTTGCATGGTTAGAATTTGGGTAAGATTCGAGAAATCTCAATAGTATAATAACTCATTCAAGCTTGCTGTATATTGATTGCTTTTTTTACCTTACAGGCATTCCAAGATAGTGTGCCATCTGACATCCAAGAAATCAACATAATAAGGGATACTTTGTCAACAATATTGCTTGAAAATTTTGAAAATGTGAAATAGTTAAGTCATTCATCACATTTTAGTTCATTGTTTGATTATTAACTAGTTAAGTTGTTGATTATTAGGTGTAGTTGATTAAATAAGGATCAGATATTAGTGTTAGGATTGAGTTTGTCTTGAAATTGTTTTGTATTCTTCTGCTATGCTAATTATAGTTAGTCTGTAAATTGTCGAGAGGTTATATAAGAAATTGAACGCAGTATGGAAAAAAAATTCACAAACATTTAACGGCGATTATTTTAATAACTATCGTGAAAAAGCTTTTTAACGACGGTTATACCACAGGGGTTTCTTTCATAAAACAAAAACCATAGTGGAAAGTCTTTTTCCATGGCAGCATATATAAAAACCGTCGTGGAAAGTCTTTTTCCACCGCAGTTATAAATTGTTGTGAAATTTTCTCTTTACAACGTCAACAGAATTCATTACAGGTCCAAAACCGCCATAGAAAGTCCATTTTAACCACCATTAAATGCCTTTTTTCTATTAGTGGTAGGACTATTCTAACAAAGATGGTCACATTGAGGAAGTCAGTTGGAAGCTCTATGGCAAACCTACAAACCTGGAATAGAAAATGAAAGGGCTAATAGCTAGCTTAGCAAAATTTGAGTGAGAATCCTTGAATGTTGAAGAACTTCAAGTTTTAAAAAGGATCATGGATAAACATGCAATTGCCTCAGCTAAAATGAGTGAGAAAACTACTCCCTCAATCACTTTAGCATAAGTAGGTACAGCTCTTATTGAAGCTCTTATTGGTATGGTAGTTGATTCTGGAGTAACAATCATATCTCAACTTTTAAAAAATTATTTTATAATTTTTCTGAATTTCTGAGCATGATACTATTGAGGCAGCTAATAGATAGTATGCTAAAGTAATGGGATTTAGAACTATTATTATATATGATAATATTTTCTTAGGAGATGTTCTATATGTCCTTGAAATTACGTGCAATCTGTTGTTTGTATGAAAGATTGCCTTTAAAATAAATTGCCTAGTTATCTTTGACAAACACAGCTATAATTTTCAAGATTTGACCCTGGGGAAGATTATTGGTAATACGAAGATGTGGAATGAGCTCTACTACCTTTGTGCATCATAACTAAATAAATCTTAAGCCCAAGTTGTTCTCTTTGCTTTGATGAATAAAGATATTATATTATGAAAATAATATGCTAAATAGATTTTGAGGGGACGCTATTTTAACTTTTGCATATCTAATTGTTACGATTAAGGTTTTGATGATAACAAAGTAAGTAATTTGTGTTTCAGTATGTTGATCGATCATCTAATCGATCAAGGTTTTATCGATAAGCTGTTAGATAATATCTCTATTCAATTAAGTAACTTAACAGAAACTTTGATTGATAACGTGTTAGATAATGTGTTGATCGATCAATTGATCGATCATTCTTAACTTAGTCGTGAATGAAAGTCTGGAGTAAATTATCAATCACTTGATTGATAATCAGGATGATCGAATATCGGGATACAAATTTGATAGGTATTTATCGATCACATGATTGATAAATAAATTATCGATGAGAAGACAGATAAATGATAATGCGCTCTACTCATTCTATGTTTTGATTTAATCACCATTTATTGATCACATTATCAATCAGCCATTTATCGATAATATGATCAAATATTGCTTCATAACACTTTGCGTGCAGGAACTTATTTTAGTGGCTTATTGTGGATCTTATTGATCACTTGATCGATCAGCAAATTATCGATCATATGATCGATAATCAGCACATCATTATTAAATCATGACTCTTAGATCACCGGATCGATAATCTCATTATCAATAATATAATCGATCACTGCACTTCATGTTTCCCTTGTTTTCACATAACATGATTGATAAATCAGCTCTTTGATTTTATGAGAATAAACCTCTTTATCGATAACATTATCGATCAGCCTTTTATCGATCACCTATTCGATCAACCTACATAGCCTGTGTTTTCAGTAAATATACTTTTGCTTATTATTTATCGATAAGGTCATCCATCATCTATTTATCGATAAGGTGTTCGAAAATTATTGTCTCAAAATTTATTTCTATAATACTTTGTTTACCGATAACTTGATCAATCAACTAGTGTTCGATTACTTGTTCGATCATGAGGCGATTTCAGTTTAAACTTTAACTAGTCTCGATGTTTTTCAAAGTGCATCATCTATTTCATTCGAGCTTTTCTCAGCCTTCATAAATGTCTTAATTCACTATTTAAAGAGTTTCAAAATGAAAAGTGGCCTTGATCTTCCTTTTCTATGCATACCAGTATGATGTCACTATTTCCTTTTATCGATCACTTGATCGATAAATCATTGATCCATCACTTGATCGATAATCTTAGTTATCTGTTTCAAAAGCTTTCACTCAAAATAATCGATAACCTGATCGATCAAGTAGTAATCGAACATCACTTCGATCAAGCACGTTCAGTTCTTACCCAGCATATTTAACAACTGATTGATTCTAACCATAAACTATGAGTATTCATTTTATCATTTGTTCAATTCTACTTTTGATCTTACTCTGCAAAGAAAAACTTATTGAATCAATGTATTTTTGTAGATTGTGATGAAAAACCCAACA